AAAATTCATGCTGTATGGACCGAAATTGTGCAATTTAATTCTCACATCCAAATGCATGTATGGAAGGAGTTTTATGCCTATACCCAGAAGTGGGGAAAAAGATAAGAATTTGTAATGCTTCTTAATGAGTCCTTATCTAAAAATGCACTAAAAGAGCAGAAGCTGTGACAGCTTTTAATGCAGTGCTTAGAGGTCCTGACCCAGACCATGATCTCCATCACACTGGGCAGCTTCTAAACAGATGTCATGAGATCAGGTCCTAAGTAAAGTTTTTCTAAACTGGGCAGTGTCTGGTTGTTGTTGTAGTCACTAAAGCAGCTCGGTGCAGCTGGTCTTCAGTTTTTTGCTTTGCAAGCTTGAGCAGGGGTAGCCTCGCTGGCCTGACCGCTGCTCAGGGACAGTTCATAGTCAGGTGTCCAGCTCAAGAACAGGCCGCATGCACAGATGAAAGGCTCATCACAACCATGAAATCTGCCAAGGTTTGGTACACTGCCTGAGATAGCATGAGTCACAAAATGTGTATACAGCAGGAGGAAGTCCAGTCTCTCCCAAGGCAGTGAGAAGGGCCATCCCTGACGTCAGTGCAGCCAGGCTTTTACTTAGTGGGTCAAGTTCTGGGAGTTGGTCTGTTTAGTCATGATGTTGGTTTTCTAGGTGGAGAATAGCAGGGCAGAAATGACCAGGGAGGGTGAGGCAAGGAGGTGTTGGACAAATCCAAGCTCCAGTTCCCCAACCCTCCATCTCACAGCACAGTTGACTTCCCCAGCTCTGGGCTTAGTGAGCCAGTAAAATAGACCCTGAAACAGCCAAAGCTGAGGCAGGCAGCTCAGCTACTGCAGCCCAGTGTAGGAATACTTTTCTAGCAGGCATATATGTGCCTGTGTCCTTTGGGAGTGTTATCTGGCCTCATTCATTCTTTCCATATAATTTCTGGGCTGGGTGGAAAGTGCTTGTTTTCAGTTCAGTCTGCTAAGGGAACACTAGCCAGTATGTATGGTTAATTTTTGTTAGGTAATATTCAAAATTATTGTTGTTCGTATGCTCTTTTCTCATTTCTAAACCACCGAAGCTTCAAATTAAGACCCTACTGTTGCAAAGAAAAGATTCTTGCTCTCTGCATTCTCTGTAATGAAATATAGGGTAATAACACATACAAACCCTAATGGCCTGATTAGGATCTCCAATTTTTTTAGGTGTCTTTTGCTGCCTGCCATTGATTGTGGGTGTAAGCACAACTGCAAAACTAAAGGCAAAATGGACTCATTAATATGCTTAAGGTTAAATGGCTAGATAATAAATGTTATTTAAAAAAAAATTAAATGGCTAGATAATAAATGTTATTTTTTAAAAAAAGGTGATATTGAGGAAACGGTGTTGCAGTCTTGATTCTTCTGATACTTAGCTAATGACTTTGGACAAAATAGTTAAGCTGAGTTTGCTCAACACTCCCTCAGGTGATAGCCTGACATGTTCTTTTGAGATCATAATCAACATGTGTATATACATACATATATATACATAAAAGCACATTTTATTTACATAAATATATAATATGTATATACTATATACAGTAAATACACAGGACAAAACTGATGGATTATATATATGCATGTTTCTGAATATATGTACATATATAAAAGTACTCGTGCTTTGTCTCAGGTTCTGCATTATAATCCCATAGTGCTCATGCAGTGTTAATGTGTAGCCAAACATTGCTTGTAGACACAGAGGCTCAGTTTGTAAAAAATCTCAAAAGAGCAAACGAAGAGTTCCTTTTTTAATTTAAATTTAATTAATAATTGAAATTCAGAAACAAAATGCTGTTCAGCATCTGATGCTTGAAATGCCTTTTTTTTTTTTAAGTCATTGTATGCCAGTGATTTTAAGGATAATGTGAGGGAGATCTAACTTTTCCTCTCATGTGAGGACGAAGAAAACTATTTGGTGGGCTGACTGCTTTTCCCTTTCTCTCCTCCCACCCTGCCGCAGGCTGTTGGGGTGCTAGGGCTGGTCGGGCAGGCTGTGGGGTCACTCGGAGCCGGGGAGCCTCCTGGTTTGGGAAGAGAGCCCGGGCAGGCTGCACTTCCCTGCAGCGGCGGCTGCTCGGGAGTGGGGCAGAGCACAGAGCGGGGCGCACATGTTGGTAGCCTGTGGGCAGGTAAGATTAGGAATGAAGGGAGCCATAAGAAAAGAAGGATGAAAGGAAACCTCAGCTGTTTTTACTAGAATTACTTTGCACTTAAACCATTACCCGGGTATAGTAGATCCTCTTACCCTGTAACTCAGCTGTGAGGAACATCAGGAGGAAGAATCCATGTTTTTGCAGTTAGACAGAATTAGAAGAGCTGTAGCAAGTCTTGTCATTTGTACTGCAATGCTATTACAATGCATAGAAAAAGTAACAGTATATTACTGTGGACTCCAGGTGGTGCCATATCTAACATGTATGCTATGTTGATTGCACGTTTCAAGATGTTCCCAGAAGTTAAAGAGAAAGGAATGGCAGCTATTCCCAGACTGGTTGCCTTCACATCAGAGCATGTATGTGTTCCTGTTTTTTTTTTTTTTTTCCTATTGGTTACTGTTGTTTTTATGAATTAAATCGTGATGAAGAGAATAGTTAAACAGTATTTTGTAGCTTACTGTCTTCATTTCTGTTACTCACTCATGGGCAATAAAAAATCGGGAAAGGGCTGGCTTCTTGATACGTGGAGGGATAAGCTGTGGCTGCAATGCAGGAGGAGCAGGCTCTGCAGGCCTCTGCACCTCTCTGCTCTCACTTGCTTCAGTGTGAACGTTTAGCTCAGTGCAAAGAAGCTCTGCTGAAGACCACGTCAAGCAGGGAGAATTTGGCTGCTGAATTTTCAGGCAGGAGTGTCCTTGTTGTTCTGTTCCTCTACTGGAACAGAAAATCCTTCTGAATCAAAATATTATGAGGTGGAAGTTATTTAATAACAGGGTAATAACACACATGAAGCCAGCAGCTGCGCAGTGCTGTGTACAGCAGAGAGCTGCTGGCCGTGTGCTCGCTGCGGGCCGCTGGGGCAGCTGAAGGGCAGTGGGTGCAGAGGAAATTGCAGGGCCTGCATGGGGGAACGTGCAGAGCTTCTTGCTCTTCACACAACCATATAGAAGTCATTCTGCTATCTGTCTGTGTGTCTGGTGGGGTTATTTGGGCTTTGTACTGGAGAACATGCGTGCAGAAAAATGTGGGAAAATAGAGAGTTATAAGGAAAAGGGGCTGTGAGCTACCTTCAGGGTTCATGGTCTCCTTCTAAATCTCCCTCCATCTGTGTGGGCTCAGACAGAAAAGGCTCTTCCACTGCTGGGCCTCAGCAAGATGCTGCCAGGTTAGGTGACAGCGTCTTCAAGGACCTGGCTACCTTCTTTCACTTTTTCAAAGACTGTGTTTCCATTCTTTACAAGTGTGAAGGGCTGAGTGTCCTCCAAAATTATCAGAAATATCTGGGAGGAAAACACTTTCAGGATGCCCTTCATGGCAACAGGAGATGTGACACAGAGCTGCAGGCTCCACATTGCAGATCTGCTGCCCCCAAATCAGTCAGAGAGAAAAATATTTTACAAAGGAGTTAGCAACTCTCCAAAGTTAACTGTGCAGCTAGAGATGCATTATTCATATGGAAGCTATGGATCTAATAAGTCTTGCAAATAAGGTTCAATGTGATTATTTCAAATAAGAAACTTTATTAATCATTAGAGAATTTCATTCGATTCATAGCAATGGAATTTTAAACAATGGAATGTTAACCAAATTGTGCTATCTGTCCCAAAATAATGAAATGAACTTTAGTAATTGTGTTTTCATGACAAGGAAGAAGCTCCCTCAGCAAATTAAAGATTCCAGAATCAAATATACTACTGAATCCACAATAGCTTCTGAAGTCTGTTAGATTTTAAAAGTATTTTGAAATTACAGTTCATTAATTTTTCCCAATTCCTTTTTCAATGAAATAGGTAATAGCACTTTATCTAGGGAAGTTATGAAACAAAGCTAAGTAGAGGCAAGATAACTTCCCAAAATATGTGGAATCAGGGCTTTTACCTTCAAAATAATAGAGGAATTACAGAGACCCAGGAGTATAATTCCTCTTTCCAAAAGAAATGTCACTCCAGATCTGAAGAGACACTAAGATATAAGAATGAAATTTGTTTTATTTATTGTGTTATGATGGTCTTCTGCTTCCTTTTAGGTTACCCAGTCTGATGCTTGTTCCTCCTAACACATTTGGAGGCTGTTGTCAGGCAATGGCCGTGGAGCAAGTGTCTATAAACTAGATACTGTCATTTCCCAATAGTCTGTCTATGGCATGATAGTAAAGAAAGCTTTGAAGTTACTGTATACACTGAGATTTCTCTGGTTAGAATTTCTGAAGCAAAGATGCCAATATGAGCAATTCCCAGAAAACAGAGTCAATGTCACAAACCAGACTCTCTTTTCGTTTCTACCGATATAGAGTGTCCATTACTTATAAATGAATGAAGTTACAATGAATATTACTGAAATCTGAATCTGGCCTCAATCTGGTGCAATGGTAGGTACAGCCACCAGTGAGGGAAAAGGGAAGGGAAGAGTAATTTGCAATTTCTCCCACACAGTTCACTTCCCAACTTAGGAGTGCATTAGGTGCCTAAACTAGGGGCCTTGTTGTGTGCACAGTCAATGAAGAGGCGCACCTTTGGAGAGAAACTCAGACTATCTAATCTAGAAACCTGAATATTCATTAATTTAGATGTGCTGCATCACCTTCAGGGCGTCAAGCATAAGGGAAGACCAGCCTCCTGACATTCTCAGTCCAAGCCAGGTGCCTCAAGTAGGTTATGTGACTATTTCAGCTGTGCAAGAACCTGTTACACGAGGCTTTTCCATGCGGATCACTATGACTGTGACATATCTTTCACTCTGCTTCAGTTTTATTCTCTTATCTCTTAGTGATAATTAAGTAGCTTGTAACTGCTTATGTCAGTCTTGGCCCAGGTGTAATTCCTCCAAGGTGCACTTGCTTATCAGAGGACTTTGAGAATTTGATCTTGCACATTCACAAATACATCAGCAGTGGTTCTTTCATCTGCACTGGTACCCAGATGGGCAAAAGTGAGAGATGCCAATTGTGACCATTTAGGTTTGTCTTTTCAAACGCAACAATGAAGGCCCTCCCCTGTGCCTCAGCTTCAGGTTGCTGAATTCAGTAGTTTTAACCATACCGAGTAAGTAGGAAATGTTTTTGTTTCCACCTAAGATAACTCAAAATAAAATTCATGGATTTACACATTCTTTCTTTGCACTGCCTAATGGGCAATAAGTAGAAAAGTGTTTTTTGCTGGTATTTGAAGCCAGAGGGAGACAGGTCTTATTTGAAGAGCAACTTAATTCAAGTAACTCTATTCAAATCTATGCTCAAGGGCAGAATGGAATGTTTCTCATCCACAGATGGGACTGCAAAACCAGAATATTACTGTCAGAATGGACAGATCAAATTGTAATAAATGCTCAAGTTTTCCTTGGAAAAAAACAAACTGTGAGTCTTGCTGGATTAGAAAGACAGGATAGAGAGGTTTCTTTCAAATGCAAAGAGTGGAAATATCAGTGTGTTGTGTTTAAGCATTAAAATACTATTTTTCACCTGATATTAACAAATAATATTATAGTTTTAATAGCAGTGTCTAAAGGAAACATTACAAATACATATACTTCATTACAGTGTGTTTAAAAATGAGATGGGACACAGTGTACTCTTTTTGTACATAATTGAAGGAAAAGCTATAGCATGCAATTAGACATTAGAGACAGTATTCATCTCACTTAACTTTAATCACCTAAAGTATAAAAGTGTAATCTGAATTAGTCTATGTTCTTTTTATAGTCAATAAAAAGAGAGAGGGATCTGCAGAAGACAACTTATCCTGGTCTGAAATGGGTGCCAAAGCCTAGGGGATAAAGTGCCTCCTGGAGGTACTTTTTCCTCCCCGCTCTTGATTGAGCCCAGGCAGCTGACTTTGAGCAGACACACATTTTTTAGGTGGTTAAAATTAAGTGCTAAGGAACTTGGCCTTCGTATGTGAGAGACTCACCCTGGATCCTCCTGGCTGTTTAAACCCTGTGGGAAGGGAAGAGGAAGGTGCCATGAAAAGCCAGCTATGGCCTTTGGGTTCCCAGCTTGTAGGGTGATCCTTCCTGACAGCTTCAGTGATGCCCAGTGATGACTGCATGATTTACTAAGCTATAAAAAGTGCTGATAGATTGATTACTGCAATAACAAAATAGAAGCATATTAAAGCACTGTTCATTTAAGGTAACAATAGTTTTCCAAAATTTTCAGAATCATAAGATTTTTATTTATTCCAGATCCTGCTTTCTTCCAAAAGGCCTGTTTCATTCTTGCAGCTGTACTAAATTTGTGTTTTTACTCTACAAAGTTAATTATGAAAAAAATGGATGGACAAACTTATACCTAACACAATTTGAGATTTTAGGGAAAGGGAAGATTTGCCTGGCTCAAAATCACCATTTTTTTTTTCTGACTAATAATATACTCTTGTCACTAAAATTGACTGCTATTCTATTCGCATTTCACCATTAAATGTTAACCATGTTTCTTTTCAAAAAGAAAATGAGATTCCTTTCATATTTTCCCTGTTCAGATTTATCGTCATTTTAGGATAAAACAGATTTATCTCATACATCTGCAACATCTGTTACACTAATACAAAGTCTTCGGCCACCTTTAGGAAATAACTGCAGCTCCTCCAACTCTTTAACAGCCTAAGCTGTCTATGGGGGTTAGATTTCTAGTCTTCCCCTCAACCTTTTGCACCAAGGCCATGTGAAACAAGAAAGGAGAAGGCTGCAGTGACCTGCTGCCCCATTCCTGGCAAGCGCAGGGTGCGGGTCAAATTATGGTCATGATTTTGGCGCCGCCTGCTTTCCCAAGCCTGTTCCTTTGCTTCAGGGCTGGCATCCATCAGTCTGCCCCATTCTTCCTTTTTGAGCCCTCTTCTCCTGCCAGAAGAATGACCTGAGTCACTCCTTCACGTCCATGCAGTAGGAGATTGTGCACGTCATGTTCCTTGCATGTCTAGAGAGTCTGCAGCCCCGTATTGCCAAAGGGGTCATAATTGATGTCCTTCTTCACCCTGTTAACCTAGTTGAATATTTCAGTTATTTTGTCTGCTAGACCGTGATTACTTTTCTGTGTTTACCTTTACATTACCAAGTTTTCAGCACTCTTCTAGGATGACTAAAGCAAAGTTTACTAATCATCATCACTAGGAAAATTTTCTTGCTATTAAAATAATTTTTTCCCTTGTTCAGTTTCATTCCAACCCTTTGGTTACAATGAAGTTTAGCTGAGAAATTTTAGTTTCTTGAGTAAGTCCTCAGACATTACCTCAAGACACAAGAATAGAGGAGGAGTTACATATATCTGCCTGTACATGCAGATTGAGCAATTTCATATTCAAAGTTTCTTTAGAAATTTTAACTGCATTTGCCCTTTTGCATAGACCTCTATATTTCATCACAATTTATCCCTAAAACGGTTCCTGCCTACTAAGTTCCCATCAGTTTATAAACAGCTGAGATGTTCAATGCTACATTCATTTTTTCCCTGATGACATTTTACCAACTCCATCAGACTTCTCAGTGAGGCAGCTGGGTTTGGCTTTATTCCAGGGGATGCTTTTGAGTGCATGAACTTAGTTTTCTTTTCATAGTAAATCGTTCACATCCATATTCCCTTCTTTAAGGTAGTTGGAATAGTTATAGGTTCTATTAGAAAGACAAATTATAATAATAAATCTATTTTAGTTACGATGGAATAAGGAGCTAAATTCATCCTTGTTTTAATGACATTGACTTGAAACACAGTGAAATACATCTAACTATAATTGCTCCCTCCTGCTCTTTACCTGTATTTATATATTAAACTACTCAGTATGTACTCAAGCATTTATGCAATACAAGCTTAAAGAATTTTTTTTTTTTGGCTAAAGTCTATATATTCTATTCTAGCTTCACAAAGCATAGTAATGAACTGTCATTACCGTGACACTATCTAATACTGTTCCAATTTTTGCAAAGGTCAAAGCTATCTTCCAGAACTTGGGAATTTATCATAAGCCTCCTGATGATAGCAGCCTCCTCATAGCCTCAGGTAGACTCTGCTCTACATCAAGTTGCATTTCTGCATTGAGTGGCTCGGTAGAGCTGCCAGGAAGAGACGTAGGCATCTTCCACATATAGAGGTTTGTGAATTGGTCACAGTCCAAGTCTTAGTCTACACAACTTGGGAAAGGAAGTCCCATGTTTAGTTCACTGGATGAAGTTCATTGAAATGTGTTTATGCAAAAAAATAAATAAATAAAATTACATTTTACATATCATGAAGAACATGCCATGAGCGTATCAGCATGATGATGAACAGACCTATGATGTCCTAAGTATAAATAGTTCCTAGCATTTTGTGATTCCCCAACTCGATAAACAGCAGGGAAAGCTGCATTTCTAATCTCAGCATGTCACTAACCTGTCGTTTTAATAGACTAGACAGTAACAGTGTGTCAAAATCAAATATTTGGCAGTTTGTAGACCTCTAGTACCCTGCTCCTAGAAGAACCTGAGCATCTTTGGTAGGTGCTTACAGCAGAGCCTAGTCCTTCAGCAAGGGGTGGAAAGTCTTTGCCTGACTTCGGTGAGCTAAAATTCAGGGACCAGCAACCATGGTACAGCCCAGTTTGCTCTCCAAGTGATGACTTAAGCGTGACTACACTAGCTGCAGTGAATCTAGTCAAACACAACACAGGTACCTAAATCTCTTGCTGTTTGTGGATGTGCATGTTTCATTTAATCATCTGCTTCAGGTGAAGTCAGTCTCACAGGCTTGTTTTAGAACATGCCTAGTTCAAGGACTAGTGGGGTTGCTCTACTATGGCCCTGAATATTGTTTTTAGGACTAGACAATGTCATTAACAGCTACTCAATACATGGTTTTGGTATATCACAGTCGTATCCCATAAGGGAAACCTATAGCAATTCATTGCATCAAAAAATTAGTGCCGTATGAAATTATCAGTTTTTCTGGCAAAGCATATTCAGATTGTCCATGTATTGCCAGTGAATCTTGGTTCAGTAGAAATCTGAAATTCTTCAAGAGGTCTGTTGACTTTTTGACTCAATTTTTTTTGAGAAAGTCTTTTGGCAGCATGAAACTGGAAGCCTTTCAGTCAAAATGGTGAGATAGCATAGGAAAAAAAGGGTTTTCAAAAAGAAACTCTTACATAACCTCAAGTACAGCAGTCAGGGCTGTCATGGGAGTTTCCTCTGTTTTGTAAAATAAAGGGTTTTTTTTTTCTTTGCTTATTAAGCTGAAGGCATGAGTTCTTACTAAACAGCAGTCATTTGCAGTAAAGTCCCACTGAAGGGAAGCAGATACCCAACTGCAGTGTGCAACCCTTTCCATTAGGCACTCTGCTGTTTGCACTCTCCTTGAAGCCAAATGATCACTTAATAAAGCAGTAGTGGTTAATACTTTGCTTTGGAGTTTGCTTCTCTACTCCTGCACTGGCAGGGGATAAAGATTGGTGTATATCTTAGTGTCTATTTCATTCTGTAACTCCTGACACCTAAAAAGTCATGTTAATTTTTATCATTTTTATCTTTTTACAGTTTTACATCCTGAGCTAATGTTACTATGGTATACACAAAGAAGTTCCATTTTTTAAGTTTAATAATCTGTAGGTAAATGATTTCAGACAGATTTGTTACACTAGGGTTTGAGTTAATAAAAAAATCTGATTCTTGGTGGTATAAACTAATATAAAACAATTTCATTGTCATAATCACTATGAATTAACTTAGAGTTACAGACCAATGCTAATTCAGGAGTTAAATCCTATGAGTTAGAGAAAATTAAACTGACTTGCACTACAATACAGGACTTTCACTTTTATCCTGTACACACAGATTAACTAATAATCTTACTAATAATCTGTTTCTGATTTTAAATTGAAGTAACTCTATTTATTAATGGGGGCTATTACTAGCTTTCATTAACTTGAGACCAGAAATAAGCTTCCTGTCTGTGTTTATTCTCCATATATTATTTGGCCAGAAGTTACATAGCAGAAGCACATCTCCAGATGCCATGAACAAAATGAATGGATAAGGGAGATGTTCCAGTGAAGCAAGTTCACTGATGAATGCATGCAAGTGGTAGAAGCTGTAAGCATGCATCAAGGACATAATTCGGGTCCATCACCAAGTGCAATTGTATATTTAATATTGCAGGAATAAATCCAGATTAGTATGATTACTGTTGCTTTAATTGATTGCGGTGTCCCAATATGAAGCCACAAATTACAGTGATGAGTTTCTGAAAAAGTGTATGAATAGAATTATTGCATATGTGGGACTGCTTGCTGAAGGGCTTGCAAGAGTGTAATACTTTAAATCATATAAGAAATAATAATAAAAATAATACAAAATAATAAATGTACTTTTTCAGAGTCACTTTTCTGTGAAGAAAGGAGCTGCAGCCTTGGGTATTGGTACAGATAGCGTGATTCTGATTAGATGTGATGAAAGGTAAGTAAAGATGCCAAACACTTCTCCTTTTAATAAAAGAGGATGATCAGGTGCTCGATCCAGAGAGAGCCTAGAGAATGCAGTGAGTAGCTGGTGTAACTCTCCATAGCGCTGTCAGCCTCAGCAGCTATACACTGTTTTTTCCCACTTGAGGAACTGACTCTCTGTAGCGTCTTTGCAAGGCCGTTACTGGGGGTGATCAAAAATCTTGGAGTTCCCTTCCTGAAGGATTTCTGGTCTTTCTTTCATCCTGCAGTGAAGCCAAAGATTGAACTAGCGATCATTCTTTACACATGAGGTTAGGAAACTATGAAGAAGCTTGCTTTGGTCAAAATTAAAAAAAAAAAAAATCAACAGTCTCACATTTTGATCCATTAAAATGAGCTGAAATGGGCTTTTTAAACTGCTTAAAATATTTGCTAATGTAATTTTGTCCCATCATACTCCCTCCTTTCTTCTCAGAAACTGATACTCTGGCTGAATCACATTTTCCTCCGTACACTCAACTGGGATTTGCAACGTGAAGTACAGTCCATTCAGGGAAGGGGCCTCGCATCACTGTGGGCAGTGTAGGCCAGTGAGGGAGAAGATGGCCCATAGAAAAGAGAATCACTTACTTAAGCCACGTAGAGTCCTCTTCCTGATAGGCACCACAAAATTGGTAGTAGATTGTTTTTAATCATTTTATTCACCCACCTGCTAGAGAAAACATTTTGAGAAGGCAGAGAAATATTAACAGAATCAGGATGTCTTGATGAATATTTTCCATTTGATGGAAAACACATTTTCTATGGAAAAAAATATAGAAACATTCTAATTGAATCTACAGAAAATCTTTTCAATAAAGTATGCTCTCATTATGAGTACCAAATATCATTGTTATAAGATATTGAATTATTTATGGCTCTAGCTTAAATGGAAGGTTTTAATGCAATCAAAATATTCTGTTCTTATGATAAAAGAAGAGCACCAGCTAAGCAATTTGCAGTACTAATCACAGTGCCTGCATATTGATTTACAGACTTATTATCTCTTTATTAACAAAAGACTGAACACACCTCGAAAAGGAATTAATGACAGCATCTGTGTAACCAACACAAATAAAAATGAACTTTGGATTGTTTCTATTCACTAAAGACAGACACAGATCACTGAAGTCATATCTTCCAATTCTTCATGTGCAAACTCAGTATAACCATTTTCTGTGAAGACCACAATGCTTAACCTGCCCATCCTGAAGTAGGACAGTAGGATTACTGCACGTCTTACCAAATCCCAACTCAGGTCCGCAGGACACAGTAGGCTGTTTGCTCAGCACACGTCCCTGGTGTGGGGTGCTGGGCTGATGTGATGAGGAGGACCTTCTGTTGGCCCATGGCAGAGTGAAGAAGGCCCACAAGAGCTTTCTGACATGTCCAGCATGAGCAACCATGCTTCTTTATGTCTCCTCTCCTTCCCATCCCAATGCCCTGAGTCGCCAGGTTATGTTGCTCTATCATGGGACAATGCAAATGAGTGGTCCATTTCAGCCAGGAAAGAGAGGAGAAAGTCCCACCTTCCTGCTCATGCCAAGTACTGGATGAGCATGTGTTTCAGTTATCTGTTCCACTAGCACACAGATACATTAATAGTAATGGAGTATCTCCTGCAGGTTTGGGGGGGTCAAGACATTTCACCCTGATTTGGCAGCACTGAGGGCTGTAGATGCATATGGGTCATATGAGAAGAATGTAACCCTTTGTCCTCAGTGCTCCACTGCTGCTGAGTATCTTCAGCTTCCTCCTGCTCCCCCATAGCTCTCCTGCCTCTGGTGCTCCATAGCACTTTTCTGTTAAGTGAGGATCTAACAGCACAAACTGGTTTCAAAATCAGACTTCTAATACAACTCTCTATTGCTCCAGAGGGAAAATGATCCCATCAGACCTTGAAAGAAGAATCCTTGAAGCCAAACAAAAAGTAAGTGCACTAGCATTTCTGCCTCCAACAAAAAAAAAAAAAAAAAAAAAGCAAAAACAGCCAGATCTTTTACTTTCTGTGATAGAATGGACTTCCCCATTAACTTTTGATTTATTTCTCAGCCCAGTATTTAGTAAGGCAAGGGTTGCTGAAAAATATGTTTTAAAATAGTCTATTTGTCTCTTTTTATATGTTGTTGTGCATAACCTTCTCTCTTTTTTAATATATATTATTAGCCTATGAGGATATTCCTCAGCTATCCTCAGCTGAGGATATCCTCAGAATATTGGCAAAAGCTGAGTAATCGTTTGGGGAATCCATGTGTATTCTCATACATTGAAAATATTCCTCACCTACAGAGTCACCAAAGCAATAGAGGACAAACATCCACATATTATCTGAAATACATGATTTTATATAGAATAGCCAATAATATGTCTATCCATTAATAGAAGCTGGAATTTAACAAATCAATAATAGAAACCAGGTCAAAAGCATGAAGAAGAGAAGGCTGAGAGGGGACCTGCTCAGTGTATATAAATACCTCAAGGGAGGGAGTGAGGAGGATGCGGCCAGCCTCTTTTCAGTGGTGGCCAGCAATAGGACAAGAGGAAATTAGTACAAACCGCAGCACCTGAAGTTCCACAGGAGCTTAAGGAAAAATTTCTTGACAGTGAGGGTTACAGAGCCCTGGAACAGGCTGCCCAGAGAGGTTGTGGAGTCTCCTTCTCTGGATGTCTTCAAAACCCACCTGGATGCCACCCTGTGCCACGTGCTCTAGGTGCCACGTGCTCTAGATATAAGAATAGAAATTCCACTCAAACTTACCAACTATATATTTCATTCAGCAGAAGGAAAATCAGACCCTTTTTGTAGTCTATGTCCCAGTCCTTCAAGAAATGTACACCCTCTTTACCTCATTGCTGAGTACAGTTTATGAATAACAGAATACAGATGAATTTAAGATGAAATACTGGTAGAAATTACTGCAGACTCCAGTGCTTGTAGTGCAAAAGCTGTATGAGAGACAGTGTGTCCTGCTCTGTCCTGCTCATCACTGAGCAGAGGGAGCCCACCACCTCACACGCCTGCACCTTCACACAGTCCACAGGCCTCATTATATCACAGCCCACCACCAGAGAGGTTTCATGCACCACCATGCCTTGTGGAAAAGGTTTGTTTTACTCGGCTTCATTTTACTTGGCATAAAAGCTGAGCCATTTACTCGACTCGGCTCCCTTTTGGACCAAAAAGGTCCAAAAGCAGACCTTTATTTCTCAGGCAGATTGTACGGGGAGGAATTGGCCTCCCCAGAGCTCATCTGTCTTCCCTGCAATAACTGGAGGATACTGGTTTGGAAGTTTGCTGCCACCTTAAGGCAGAAACTGTAATATTGCTAGCCCTAAACTATGAAAAACAGTGTTGTAGGTATGTCGTCTAGGAGGCACTTGTGCACCTCTTGCACAGAGATCTATTGCTGCAGTTGAGGTTCCTGGTGCCAGAAAGGCAGTGGCTGGTGGCAGCTGGGTCTGGATACCACACACTGGGGCCAACACCTCCGTGCTCCCTTGCAGGGCTTTGTTCCATTCCTCGTGAGCGCCACAGCGGGAACAACAGTGTATGGGGCATTTGATCCACTCATAGCTATTGCAGACATCTGCAAGAAATACAAAATCTGGATGCACGTGGATGTAAGTACCATGTCATGCGTGAGGCGGGTTTACAAGGCACATCAGCATGAATTTAGTCATCTTGGACAGGGTCTTCTTGTACAGATAACACTCTGCTTGGTTCCTGTAATTAACTCTTAAAGTCTAAGGCTTTAGAGGCTGATTTCCTCTCCTCTGAAAAGTTCAGGTGACAGTAGGATGTCATAGGACGTCCCACTGCACTGTACCTGTGCAGTGCTTTTAGCAACTGGGACACTTGAGATCACCTAGTTTGCATGCCGTTTGCCTTCACCTTCGTCTCTAAACATTGTTAATACAGAAAAAATATAAAAACCATATCCAGCCCATACTCAGCTTGTGCAGTAACTGCGAAATAAATGCATAAGGAGAAGGCTACATTTGTCTGGAGTTAAGTAACCCAAATTACTGAATAGATTAATGCAAATACCATAGAAATTTATCAGGCTGGCTACATAGCTTTAACTGGTTTCTTGCCCAGAAATCTTTCTGGAGGATCATCTTTCAGCTCAGAAAGGAGTTTCGGTCATTTTTTATAAATGCTTTCTCCAAAAAGGCTTAGTAATCAAATTTGCATGGAAATCTTGCTTTTGGATTATTGCATTAGCCCAGATGATTCCAATTTAAAGGAAGATTTCACATTTACCGTGAACTACTACTCAGTCACATGAAGTATCTGCATGTCCCCCATCTCTGTAAGGAAAACCAAAGGGGTAGGGTTAGAAATATGCTGAAAATCCACTACAGCAACTGAGATCCTGGTCTATTTTGTTATCATCACTAGTCACTAAATGAGAAAAGCCAGCTTACCCTTGAGCACCTCTAGGTGGTATTAATTACAGCCTGAGGCCACCCAAAGTGTCACCGTCAGATGAGGTGATGAGGGAGGAGTTAACAGCCATAGGAGTTGGCACACAGATCCCGGTGTATAAAACACTGTTTCCAAGCTATTGGAAAGAAATTGTTAGTTCAGCTAATGCCCCGGGCCCCATCTGCCCCTCGCTGATGTGTATTCACAGATACTGTCATAGGGAAATGCAGAGACCTCTCCTCCTCATTCAGATAATGTGTCTTGCTTTCTAGGGAGCATGGGGTGGCGGGCTGCTGATGTCCAGAAAGCACAAATGGAAGTTAAATGGTGTTGAAAGGTATGATTTATTAACAAGTTATTAGGTGTTTTAACACATTTTTGATTGCCATAGCAATGCCTATAAAGACAAATAAAAATTGGTCAATATTAGGTCTGAATAAAATACGAAAAAATCATGTAAACTGCCCTTCTGGTCGAAGTAACAATGCTAAATGTTCATTGTGGTGCTGCTTTTTCTTTTTTCCTTTTTTTTTTTCAGTAGAACAACCAGTGGACATTTCATATTTGTCGTCTTAGTTCTTGCAATGTGCATTCTCAGATCTAGCATGGTTTCTGTGTCACCCCCTGATTCACTATCTTCAATGGTTAGCAATTGCATTTCTTTAAGAAATGAATCTTGGAGATCTTGCATGCTGAAGTCTAAATGTAAAAGGTGGCTGCACCCGCCATTTGGCTAGAGGTCATGTCAGTCTCTGAGCACTGCTCTGCCACTCATGGAAAGGATGCAGTCTCCCAAGCCGTGCTAGTGAGGTCTTCTCCATAAATCTGCAAGTGGGTGTACACAGTGATGGTCATGAGCTCATTAACATTACAAATACACACAGATGAACATAAATGATAGCAATCTAGTTTGGTATCTTCAAAGACTGAGCTTAAAATTACAAACAGCTGTTTATTCAGAAATGTATAGCTCAACTGTGGAACACCTTGCCAAAGGATATTAAAATTTGTGTTTACAGGGAGGCTAGATAAGTACATAGACAAATAAAACCCGTTCAGGAAGTCCATGAGTCACAAATGACTGGAACCTCTCAGATCACTTGGGGAAGTACTTGGGGTGCTTGTCTTGCTTTGTGTTATTCCCAGGCCTCTTGCTGGGAACAATATGCTGGACTAGATTTAGCCAGATACATATGTATATTTTTTGAAGCTCATTCTGTTTAAGATTAAGCTATTACTCTCCTCTGCCTTTTTTATCTCCTAATGACAGAATTGCTGCTTCTGGCCAATTAAAATTGCAAACAACTTCCTGATCCTGTTCCTAAGGATTAGGAGGACACCTTGACGATTCCATTCCTTTCTTATACATCTCACATTTGCAGAATTCGGAGAGCAGCCAGTGATTCTATTAATTTATATTTTAGCTAAGGCTGCCTTGAACATTGCAAACTTACATATTGGACTTAAAAAGGATATACATTCAAATATGCGACGTTAGAAAAATCTGTGCAGCAATCTATGAGCATTCTAGTAATCATTCTAGTAATTCTGCTAGAATGAGGTGTTTGGGTTGAACCTTTATTAAAGATGTTTCTAAATATTACACTTCAGAACTCCACTAGAATTCCTCCAGTATTTTGATAAGTGCCACCTCCACATGATAGTCGATGTATTAATGGAATTTGTCATTTCCAGTCCTGTTCCCTTGCTTGATGGACACAGCAGCTCATTTCAGTTTGTCCAAATATCAAATGTGGGCACCTTTAGAGGAGATCTACTGGATCTCAGGCTGCTTTTATAATGGCTGAGGGCCAAATTCTGTCAGTCTTAATACTTTTCAGTTATCCACTAGGAATCTCTAAAGGAAAACTTTTCCTCTTTCTTTCTTGTGAAAGATCCACAGTCACAAAATCACACAGGTGTTTGGTATCAGTTATTTAAACAAATATAAGATAAAAAACATCTTGTGGTTACATATTGCTTTTTTCCCTCTTACTTTCAGTCTGCTTTTTATTTAAGCACATACTAATGGCAGATGCCCAGAAAAACTGATAACAAATAAAAAAATGGATTTTTGTATTTTATGTAAGTAATTGTGTTGTGTGTGCAATTGGCATGAATATGAGGAAATAGATGACCTTAGGGTAAATTAAATTTTGTAGGCAAGTAATTAACATCTGGCTGTTGTCAGTAAATAATCCTTTTGCTTGAGAAAATCCATACCACTACTGTTACCTAGAAGGCTCTTAAAGAATTTCTGCTTGATTCTGTGTAGGCACAGATAAAAACGAGAAAGTATCATATCAAAGGAAATCCATAGACCTCAGTGCCTGTTCAGAATCATTAGCTCTGGCACTGTAATCAGATGACTGACTCTGAGCTGATTAAAACCTGCCAAATACTCGAAAAGCCCAGCCAAGTGGCCAGATGTTCCCTGTGAAGACTGTTCCTTTCAAATTTTTCATCGGGCCCCTGCACAGTTGTCTTTAAATAGCAAAGAAGAAAGTGCTGCACAGTGCCCATGAGCATTTTGGAGTCGCTTACGCTGAAGGAGTAAAAAGCAACCTCGCGGGAAACGACAGGAGCCTACATACACCCATATCCTATGAAGGACAATATTGCCAGATTTGAACAGAATTGCTACCTGCAAGTGCATTCTGGGTCCTTTAAGTAGCTACATGCCAAGAAGTCAACTACATATAAAGAAGTCAACTTCTTTATACCAATGTATACTCTCAAAACTCCAACCACTGAACCAAATCAAATCATGTGCGCTATGCATCCTTGACAGCCTGCCAAATGGCACGCTAATGTATACATCCACTGGCTAATCAGCATATGTAATAATAGTAATTTACAAATAACCAGTCGAGCATAACACAGGATTAAAACAATAAAGAACTGGCCAGTTCTCCATTCAGCACTTGCCATAGTCCCAAAGTCTCTTCTCTAGTCTTTATTGTGCCTGTTCATTCACAACATCTGGCTGACAGCTAGTTTTGCAATGTGTCTTGAAGATCAGCAGGCTCCTTTGTCATGTAGATGTGTAGTGCTATGTTTATTACAGTAGTAATTTGGGACCTGATCCTCTGGTTGCGTGAATTATCATAGCCCAACTAAGGTCAAAAGATACGTGAGAGTTTACCATCAACAGAGCAATGAGAAAAATTATTTTTGGACAGGTTTTCCAACTTAGTCAGAGACTCACAGCTTCCCAGAAGGATTTAAAGGAGTTTTCAGAAATGCCTGTGTTACTTAACTCTTACTGGAACAAGAATCAAAGGGAGGGAATCTGCTAAATTGCCCTTTTCTTATCTCCATCTTTAGGAGCCATCTTCCTTGAGAAAGTTCATCAGTCAAGTGGGTGTTTTTGTGAAGCTTGTCTTTTATTTACGAAGTATAGATGACTCTCCAGAAAGTTTCATACTGATTAAGCCTAGCAGAGAGAGCAATTATCCCATGGTAAATTGCCAGGATTGTCATCCAAAAAGCAACTAGAGCAAATTAGGTCCCTCATGAAGGCATTGCTTTCTTAATAACACTCACGGTTATTTCCAGCTTTGCTTACTCAGAAAAAAGAAAGATGCCCTTTGCTACATTTTTATTACAAAATGTCTCCATGGTTTCACCACAGTGTGTAGTATCTCAGTTGAGAGTGGTTTACTGTCACAGGGCCAATTCGGTGACCTGGAACCCGCACAAGATGATGGGCGTCCCACTGCAGTGTTCAGCCCTGCTGGTGAGAGAAGAGGTATGTCTCCATCTACTTCTTTCCCTGGATCTTTTTGATATTTTATTTCTGAAAATCCTGCATGTTTCCTCATAACTGTGTCATAGTAATATTTGATAATGTGATGAAGATTATAAAAGAAACTGAGAAGGAAACCTCTAGTGATTTGTTTAGGCTATGAGTGCAAGAGGGAATTAAAATGCTGTCTAGTTGGTTTGATAGGGAATAGCTTTGCACAGTTTTGTAGCTTTGCTTTCAAAATGTTCTAAATTAATTTGTGGGGAACAGCTGTGTAATCTCTCTAGTTTCTGTGTAGCATAGATTGTAACTGAAAGCAAAATCTAGTCCTCTTACAATGGTATGCTGTAAATGCAATATGACATTTGGTTGAGAATCCAGGCATTATTACATTTTCCAAACTTTTATGAGAGATATTTCAACCCAGCTCTGATTCATATATTCACTTTGGGGAGCATGGAAATTAAAAGGGAATGCTAAGTTCAGTTGGAATAAAAAGTGCACATTTCCTTTAGTACTAGGACTTGAATTACCCGTCAAGCCTGTAATTTTCATATAACTATTGGTTACTGGGACAGCTGCTATACAACCAGCAGTTATTAGCCCAGCTATCTAAAAGTTGGTTACTGTTTTGCTAACAGCTGTACAACAGATTGTACACAAAGTGGTTGTGCTTAGGAAGAGAGAAGCTGGCTTTTATTTGCCCTCTGGGTCAGTTCCCTTAGACAAATCCTACCTGGGTGAAGTCAGTACCATCCTTGAGCTCCAGTGAGAACAGATGGCTCAGATTAAGAGAAAGCCAATTTTTTCCCCTTTATTTTTTCTTAGTTTTGAGTTACAGAGGTTAGACTTGATGATAAACAGCCAAGTTCTGATTCTTCTTGGACTGGAAAATGCACTTTTAAGCAACAGCCGTAAGGTATATTTTAAACCTGGCTGAGGACTTCACTAGAGACAGAACATGACTGTCTGCATTTCACTTAAAAAGCTAAAAAGGAAACCTCATGGTTTCCATGAGACAGGTTTGCTCACATTGCTGGCTGTTGGTCCTCCCAAAAAGCTGCCTCCCAAAACAGTATCTTTCTATGCAGAGGTAGCTCTAGGTGGTTGCTTAGAGGTCACAGGCTCTTTTGCCTGTGCAAAGCTTTTAAAGTTTTCTGCACCACTTAAGTGCTCTGCAGCACTAGGCTTTGCAGAGGATCTCTCCTTAGGAAAGATAGGTACCTACAAAGAAGGAGGGAAAAAAAAAAAAGAGGCAGAGACAAAATCAGGCAGGAAAATGGTGTGGTGTTCTTTAGATTAGTCATCACATTACCTTGATCTGACTCAACCTGAATTATACCTTCCAAGGAAAGGAGAAATGGAAACCAGAACAAGGAATAAAGAGATGTATATAATAAATAATGTACATGTAATGGCGCTCACAACTTACTTCAATGTGCAAAAGTTGTTTAAAAATGCTTTGGAATGTACATGTAATGGCGCTCACAACTTCAATGTGCAAAATTTGTTTAAAAATGCTTTGACTCCCGGAAAGCCAAAAGCCAGAGAGGCCTGCACATACCTGGGTCAGGCACCAAAGTGTCCTGGGGGTGCAGGTGGAAAACAAGAAACTGAACCCACTAAACAGCTAAGTCAGGTTTTGTCTTTTTTTAGATCTTTGTCCTTCAATTGTACACTTCAGTTGGATGCTTTATTTGCATGTTTTTAGTTTCTGCTGTTTAGACCTAAAGCAACCCTGGAAACAGTAGTCACATTTGTGCCCAGGCTACATTTTTGTGCCTCTCTTTCTTTAAGGGACTGATGCAGAGCTGCAATCAAATGCATGCTTCCTACCTCTTTCAACAAGACAAGCACTACGACCTGTCTTACGACACTGGAGACAAGGCTTTGCAATGTGGACGACATGTTGATGTCTTCAAACTATGGCTCATGTGGAGGGCAAAGGTAGGACTGCCTGAAATGTATTTGTTTGCTTTAAAATAATGCACACCAGATGCAGGTTTCTTTTATTTAATTACCATTTTGGATACTATCTATCTGACCTGAATTTCTCATATATAACATGAAAGAAAAAATATTACTGTTTTCTCTCTTTTATATACCTTTAACAATTTAGGTTCAAAGCAGCACAGATCATTTTGAAACTTGAACTCCATGCCTTTGTGTTGCGTTTGCTTTGTGCAACTTCAGGACTCCAACACTGTATATCCTATGTATAAGAATGTTGTTAGGAACATTTCTGGAAGTATAAAGATATTTTATCTTAATGACATTCAGAAATTAAACATGGCAATTCCAAGACTGGAATCCTAGTTCCACTGCATGCAGTAAATGTGGAGTGAGCTTTCAGTAGAACTCCTCAAAATAATATCCTCTGAGAATACGAGCCGTAATCATCAGTTCGCTTGTAAGTGTAGAATGTTGCTAAATAAACTCTTTCACCTATTTATTCAATCTATTATGTCAGGTTGCCTTCAGGTTTGTTCAGAGATGACATCAATATTTTCATTTCCAGAAAGCCTTGAAGAGCCTCATGTGTTTCATTAAACCTCTGGTAACAGTTCTGCGACAGACAACAAGTACCGCTGGAGGTGTGGGAGCCTGTGAAGGAGGGCTCGTGGGCAGCCACTTTCTGTGGCTGAAATGGCTGTGGGACGGGCTGGCCTCACTGCAGTGGTGGGTGGTCTTAGAAAGCCGTGGGGCTTTCTCTGGGGCTGCACTATCTCCCCCCTGAGCCAGAACCTCTGTCCCCAGAGTGATGGTGACCTGGGCTTGTCACTTCTGCAGTGCCAGAGCGAGGTTTATCGGGATGCACATCCATTATTCAAAGACATGTCTTCCCATAGAGCACATACTTTCTTGTACTGCTTTTTCTGTCCTCGCACCCCACTTGTGACATTGGCGTTACCAAGTAGGATGCATGTTGCTCAAGCAGTTCATCTCTCCCAGCTGTTCACCTCCTTCTCCCCTGCCCCACACCGTGGTCCTTGGCTTGTGGCCTCACAGCTGGGGACCCCAGGAGCCTCACAACCAGAGGACGGTGACTCCTGTCAGGGAAAAGGAGCGGGAATTCCTGGAGCTCTTGATTTATAAAGTACCTGTTAGAAAAGTGGAGATGCAAATGCGGTGGAGACGGGGCAGTACCTGAATAGACTGTTCAACTGCTACAAGCCTTAACCTGGTCTTTGAAAACATCTGGCCATTTTGTGTTTTATTTCAAAGAAAATTAATATGCTAGGAAAAGGTACCAGTTCATCCCCTCTGGGAGATTAAAATCCCCTGTCCTGAAAGAAATACAAGGCTCCCCATGTACGGAGTTCAACACCTTTTTGTAGAGGCCCTCGTCCTTGTCAGCCCAGGCTGCCTCTGCGCAGAAACCACCACCAAGGGCACCCTTCATCAGAGGCACTGCAAGTGCTTTGCTCAGCACTGAGCTGGGTCTTGTGCTTGTTTCGCAGAGGTGATCGCAGGGGAGTCAGTGGCACAAGCGAGAGATGGATGAGCTCTGCATTGGAAAGTGTCCTTCATCTGACAGAACCAGATCCTTAATCTCTCCAACAGAGACTCCTGAGAAGTGACTTGTACTGCTGCTTTGACAAGTGCTGCATGTTCCTGTCACTGTGTCAGTTCACAGGACAGATAGTCACAAAACTTTAATTTTTTCTTTTCTCTCTCTCTCTCTGTCTTCAAAGGGAACCACAGGATTTGAAGCACAAATTGACAAGTGCTTGGAACTTGCAGAGTACCTATATAATAAAATAAAGAACAGAGAAGGTTATGAAATGGTGTTTGATGGAAAGGTATGTATTGCAACCTAGCAATCTGATTGGTCACCAGCACTTGCTTTAGTCAGGTATTGGGATGTTACTAACAGGTCAAACCAAAAAGTGTGTGATAAAAAGCAGTGTCCCTTATGAGAGCAGCTGTTTATCGTTCTTTATGGGATCCAGGGGCCAGGGAGATGAGGCAGCTGAGCACAGGGTTTCTGACAGTACAGTCTCACCCCACGAGAGCTCAGCACTGGCCTCTCAGGCTAGAGCAGCATTCACACAGTGACAGTCAATCTCCTAGTAATGGAAAGAGGCTGTGGGGACGCGGGCCCCCCTGCTCATTGCTGGGGCATCGGATCTGCTTTGCAGGTGGGTACAGGAGCCTGCCCTGCTCCCTGCTGCCGCGCCACGTGCATGGGGACCACGGCCGGCCGGAGTGGGAGAGGCGACAGGTACAGATGTCCCAGGGCTGGTTTCCACAAGCTCCAGCTGCAGTGATTCCCCCCAGGGCGAGGTGTCTGGCAGGGTCAGGCTACAGCCTGCGCTGTCGGTGCTCCTGGCTCTGCAGCTCAGTCCTGCATTTGGCTGCAGCACTCCCGGCACATGTGGCCTGGCACAGGCACCTCTGTCATGCAGAGGTTTTCCTTGTAAGAGTGAAAAAAAAATCTATTCTGGCTTTTCTTCTCTGCCCTGTGGCTTTTTCTGCTTTCTATACCTGCATGTTGTTCCCTGGTATAGTTAACTGGAGTGCTGGCTCTACAGCACAGGAATATGTGTCCCCATACTTTAGAGATTCCACACCCACATGCCACTGCATTATCTAATCACACACCATTGCTGAATTTGGTCTGCCAGGTCTTGTTATGATAAAAGGAATCGACAGCAGGGAAAGTTTCTGTAACTCATCCATTTAGCAACCAGCAAAGAAGAGTGTAGCAAGGCAGACAACTGCTGGGAGACAGCAAAAAGTGCACAGTGTCAGTGGAGTCTTCTTTGTGCCTTTCTACCCTGTGTTTCCATGTCAGCTAAGCCTCCCAAGGTGCTAGATACATGCATATTAATACGGGAGATAACTGCACCAAACTGAGAAGCAGTGAATTTCTAAAGGGTAAGAAAAGCTTAGGCCATCTGTGAGGCCTGTTTACAAGACCAGATTCTTCATTATGCAGTCGTGTAATAAAAGTAATTGACATGGTCCTCACATCTAAATTATCTCTAATAGACTGTTTTCTCGTCCACATGTTCCTTTCAGCCTCTTGAGGGGACAGCACCTACAAAGTCTAGATGCTTCCCAGTTGGGGATAAATATATTTGCACAGCTGGGCAATGTGTTTCTGCATCTGACATCCTGGGAATAAATTGCCTAAAATTATCCTTTCTGCATTAATAATGATGATGACTCTCAGCGGACTACAATAATGAAAGCCATTGATTGCTGTCACAATATGATGTACGAGAGAAGGGAAAGGCATGCGCATAATTGCAATTGAGATATTATGAGCATTTCTTACAGTCTGAACCATTATTATTCTGTGTTTAGCCTCAGCACACAAACGTCTGCTTCTGGTATATACCTCCCAGTTTACGCGGTATGGAAGATAACGAAGAAAGGATGAGCCGCCTTGCAAAGGTAAGCAACAATATCCAGCATATCGTGTGATGAGCACTGAAGTCCTGACACGCAGGAATCCTCCAAATGATCTCCAGGGAGGCACAGGGCAAGGCCACCCAGCTATGTTCTGCAAATGACACCTCCATGGACATTATGCTAAGGGTGAGCCTGGCACCACCTCGCTCTGCTCTTCCAACTTGTACTCCCTGTGTCACTTTGCTGGAGCACTTACTTGAACTCTGGCTATTTTTCCTGCAGCTCATGTAAACTGCAGTCCATAAACTGGGCAAATGTAACAATAGTTTGATCATAGAATGCCACTCTAGCACATGAAAAAAGATGGAAAATGATGGCCACAATATGTTTGAGGGATACAAAAAGAAAGCAGTTACTGTGTGCCAGTTGTGTGTCAGCAATCCTGAAAAAGTAGGGGGGAGAAATCCCCAGTGATTTTAAGAGCAGCACAAAGAAAAGGATAAAACCAACATCTTTTCAAAGAGTCACTTATTCCTTAACAGAAGTTAATTTTTTTTTTCAAGATTGGACTTCTTTTCATTTTAACTGCTTCTTGCAGCTCTTTATAGAAGAATAAAACATGCTCTGCTTTTTGTTACAATAATAATAATAATAATAATCTTCTGATTTTTGCTATAATAGTAATGACCCCTGCTTTTTGTTGTGCACCGTTATAGGTGGCCCCAGTGATAAAAGCCAGGATGATGGAGTATGGAACAACCATGGTGAGCTATCAGCCTCTGGGAGACAAAGTGAACTTCTTCCGGATGGTCATCTCAAACCCAGCAGCAACTCATCAAGACATTGATTTCCTGATTGATGAAATAGAACGTCTGGGACAAGATTTATAATAATCGAGCGTGAAAGGCTGTTCCTGGACCTCTAAGTAGACAATTAAGTTGTCACAAACTGTGCGAATGTATTTGTGGTTTGTTCCAAAGTAAATCTATTTCTATATTGTGGCGTTGGAGTAGAGTACAGTTTAAAATCAAGAAACATGGCTCCTTTAAAGTCCTTTCCTGAGTTTTAGAATACCTCTTTAATAATTAGCTACTCAAAAAGCTGCATTTAAATATATAAGGAAGAGCAGAAGATACGTACAATTTTATCTCCAATTTTAACACAGTGACTATTTTAAATTAAAAGCAATCAGACAGAATGATGCAAAATTTGCCCGAAATGGTGACAAAATCAAACTGGGGGAAGGAAGATAATGAGAAACAAAGTATACAAGCTGTATGCTTAAAAGTGAAAGTATTTTGTCTTTTTCATAGTATTAGAACAGAGTTTCTAATTTACCTATAGCAACATTTCAAATGTATTTAAATAGGTATAGTTTTACAAAAGCAAATATATATATATATAAAATCCTATTTTGTAAACTAAAGATTTTATTTTATATGGGTTATGAAACTGCAAGGACAGAAACCGAAAATTAACTAGGATTCTTTTTCTTTTGATGGAGGTGCCTCAAACATTTATTACTGCCTATTTTAAAACATATGCCCACATGTATTTTTAAGAGGTACCAGTGCCTCATTTCTCTCTGTCACATGGATTGTACATCTCCAAGGTTGATTACTGAAAAACCTCAAGAGTACTGCAGCTCTTAAAACCACTTAATAAGATCAATTACAGTACAACAATAGGATGCTATTATTCCTAATTATGTTTCCCACATGGCCTAACCAAGCAGACGCACAATCAATACAGTTTCTTCGCTCTGTGTTAAAAACGCCCGTCCAAAAAAGTCACATATCTAACTGCTTGCATCATAACCATTTCTTTTACAAGAAATACAAAATTACATTGAAAATTAAATTTGACAGAAATTCTGTTTAAAAAAATAGCATGAAATCTCACAGCTACATTAGCAAGGTAAGGACTTTTATAAACATACTGGTCTGCAAGATATGATCTAAATTAAATGCAAGTACACTCTGAATGGCAGTAATGGAGTCTGAGTGCCAAACAGATTTGACAAAGGTTTCTCCCATTACTGGACTTCATCATTGTTTTCAAAGGATTTTGAAATTGCTGAAAAAATGAGATAAGGCTACATCTGCCTAATACAGCCCATGCAGAGCCACACAAGTGTTTTTTAGAAACCATGGCAGAGGTTTAGAAACCTCTTGCAGAGCTTATGTGCTGCATCATTCCTTAGCACTAGGAACGACACTGGCATGGAAACTTATATATACCTTTTCCCCCCTCAACATCTGGAAATGTTGGTAAGAACTTTGTGGCTTGGGCCTGTCTACTTATAACCCTACTGAAGTTTTGGCTTTAACTTTGCCTAAATGGCCAACTTTTGTTTGTAAAGCAATATTGTTTTGCTGTCTCAAAAATACTTGAAGAGAAAAAAAAAAAGTGCAATGTCATTTTAATTTCATCTAAGACAGATAAATGGAGTATTGGTTCAATGTAATACGAGGACATGAAGTAAGAAGAAGAAATAAATTGTGTCTGTAATTGTGTTGCCTTTATTATATTGATAGTACTGTTTTGTCACCTCAGATTGAGGCCGTGCACTTTAGATTTAAACTGTACAATGTTGCAAATCAACATGTGTTGCTGCATAAGCTTGTACAATATATTATTGATATGTCATTATTTGTGTGGTACTAGTATTTACTCCTGATATTGTAAGAACTGCTCTCACATCAGTCCTTCTGCTATATCTTTGCTTGATATAAGCCTCACCTCGTCAGCTTTTAGGGAGATCTCTCACCTCACTTAAGTGGGTTTCCATTCCTATCTACAGTGCATAATGTTGCAAGTTAAGCTATAGAGGAGATGCCAATTCTATCCAGGACTTAATGTGACCTTTGCTGAATCTGTCAAAATCAGCTGACCAATCACTGAAATACTGGGTAGAGCAGCAAAATGTTGTATTCTTCTTTCTTGCTGGGAAAAACAAGGTGAGGAAAGAGCTTAAAATTTAAAAATGGTAAAGGGACAACGGTGAAAGTGATCAGTAGCCTGGTTACATCTTGCATGTGCAATTCTGTTTTTAAAATGCTAAACGCAAGCAATGTATTTATTAGCTCTATGTGCTAATCCAAGATTTACATTCAATGTTCAGTAAGAACCAGCATTTTTTCCACATTGCTGTTTATTGCAGCCAGCAAAGAGCAGCAGAGCAACCTGTTCTTGTGTTTGACCAAAGTATCTTATCTGTGTTGTTGACCTAAATCCAAATAAAAGTGTAAAATGTGACTGAGAGTCTTTTCTTTAGCAGCACTAAGGACACCAGCATTACCAATTATGCCGTTGCAGTGTAAGGTCCCACAGAAGAGAATGTTTAATTCTAACTCTCTCCGGATTTTTTGATGGCAAGATTCCTGTGTATTAGTTATTATAGCAATTAAAAAAAAAAAAAAAAGATTGAAATCTACCATCCAGTCCTTTTGAGGCATTGCACAGCACTGGCATGCTAGTAAAAACTGCCATCTGCTATTCCTCTACCTTATCTTTACAAGGTGAAGCTGATTATTCTCCTCAGACAAGCTCAACTTAATAGGGTTTTATTTTGGTCTTTTTACTTAGTGAGTCCTTATCCCCAAATTAGTCATAGACTATAATCAGCCCACAACACAGCAGTGGAAGCATTGAGGGCACTTTCCAGACCATAAGAAGGCAAAAGTTTAAACAGGCCACAAGATAAAAGAGGCAAAACAACTGATACAAAAATTAAAATTTTAATCTTCATGTTCCCCCTGGCGCTGGGCCTCAGTCCTCCAAAATCTGCCACCTGCCTGCTCTATTTTCCTTCCATTCACTCAGCTTGATGCCAGGTAGAGAGAGAAAGCAAAACAATGTTGTGAAAATGCCTGAAATGAGATTTTTGTGTCTCATGTCCAAGGTCTGCAGCAAAATTTGAGTTGGGTGCCCAGTCCAAGCACCTTGCTGAGGCACTGTGCCCTGCAGCAGTGGCTTCCTTTTCTCTCCTTTGGGCCCAGCTAGTCCACCTACTCCACCGTTTCATGGCTCTTTTCCTCAAAGCATGGATATACCTGTGCAGCTAAGCACTCTTCACAGTATGGTGGGGTTTCTTTTTGTTTTAGATAATTAATGTTTCTTTAAAATTCAGGCTACATATTTGGCCAAAAATTTACTACAGCAAGACAGGGTTCTCAGACAGAGAAGGTTCTGTCCTTCTTTTCAACATAACGTTTTCCTGGCCCAAGATAGTTCTGCGAGAATCACAGTATCAAAAACTTGCAGAACGATTGAGGTTAGAAGGGACCTCTGGAGAGCATCTAGTCCATTCCCCCTGCACAAGCAGGATCACTTAGAGCACGTTGCATAGGATTGTGTCCAGCCAGGTTATAAAAATTTCCACAATATCTCTGGGCAACCTGCTCCAGTGCTCTGCCACCCTCATAGTCAAGAAGGTTTTCCTCAATTTCAGATATAGTTTTCTTTGTTTCAGTTCGTGCCTCTTGTCCTATCTCTGGCCGCCACTGGTCAAGCGAAGTATTAATATACACCAATTCTGATGCCAGTCTGCTATGAAACAAGGGAGGATGACAAGGAAGAGCCCTGCAGAGCTCAGAGAAGCCCTCAAAACCTGCCCAGACCCATCCCAAAGGGCTCACCTTCGCCACACCATAGTCTACTGGATGCATCTAGTGCTTTTGATAGTGTATTTTGTAGTTCAGCTCTTAACCTTGGGATTAATAAAATATGATTAACTTCAATAAATATATCCCAGAAACAAAACCAGGTTCTGTGAAGCCAAATGAGCAAACGTGAAGGTGCCTCCAGATAGCCAAATGAAGTTTTGAAGTAGCAGGCACATTTTAGAAGTGGCCCCAAACATTGGAGTTTTACTCTGTAGTAAAGAATTTCATCCAGATAGACACTCTGCCAGTTACTGTCTTTAATGTGCTCTTCTCTTAGACTTATAATGTCTGAACTATCAGCTTCCTACCTGTCTAGTCTGACTAAAGGGACCAATTGAGCCATTCATAGAAAGTCAAGTGCTGCAGCTGGAATAAATGCAACCCCGGCTTGTCTGTTCACGAAGACAGAACAGCTGCAACATAGCACTATTTGTTATGGTGCTAAAGGATTCAGGTGTACGTATTTTACACTCTACAGCAAAGCAAGAAACTGGGTCTGAGATATGAGTCAAAGGGAAAGGCATATGTACTTATTTTGTGTTAAAATAAATGTCCACGTATACTGTTGCTGAAATTCTTGTGCTACAATGCACAGGTGAAACTTCAGTTCCATAAATGCACACTGCGTGAACAGAGTAAAGGTGACTGCCTCAGGGTACAGCTAAGACACAAGTTAGGTTATGGAGTAAACCAGTTCTCCTGCTGCTCTGCAACGGCTGCCTGTGTTCCTGTTCTTGCTCCAAAGTGCAAATTATGCCTGAGGCTTTCAAAGGCATTCAGATACCTCATCTTCATTATATGGACCCGGAAGCCTTAATCTCAGTATAGCGCTATGTCTATTAGGCTCTGTCTACCCCTCACAGTCTGTGACCCATAAATCAGAAGGATTGTTTCTCACAGGTGACTGATGTCCGGGAAAAATATCAAAAAAAAAAAAAAAAGGCTTTGCAGTGTGTGAAATTTCTAAAAGGTTCCTCAGCTTCTGTGGAAATATTTTAGTGACTTGCAATTCAAAAGAGCTTGCAAACAACACAACTAAGCAACATTTCTTTTAAAAACGCTTCTTTTTACTCTGCACAACCCTTGCTGAAAACTCTGATTTCAGTTTCAACAGATGTTAAATTCCAATTTCAGTTTCAACAGACATTAAACTAACAAGCAAAATGGGGAATACAAGAATCATTATACATAATTTGATTGATTGCTTTAGGTACTGTCATTTTAATAATATCCTGTATCAGTAAGCTTCCATCTTCCCACACTTTGCACCACCTGTATGGTGGAGTTCTAACTTCCCGCCCACCCTCCTCTGTCCTGATAATGAAAGTGGCTCTGGAAGAAGGAACAGATGTTTGGGGCTTGGGGAAAACAAGCCTTTGCTGCTCTGAGAAACTAAAAGGAAATGTCTGTGTTAACAGTAAATAGCATCAGACCACAGCTTTTTAAAGACAGTCTATGAGGAACGATGAGGCATGTAGGGTTTGCTATTAGCAGTGGCTGCCTGGTAGCACTCCCCAGGTGAGGAGTCTGCCCCTCAGCTATCTTTGCCAAAGTGCACATTCTGCTAAAGCTAATCCAGTTAATGTCCCCATTCAGACAACCCATTACTATTTATATTGCATTGGCATTCAACTAAAGCCAGAACCTCATGGTGCTAAATGCTGTAGTATTGTCAGAGGCAGCTGTTCTTACAATGAGTTTTGGATATGAAAGGATGTCAGAAACTGATCAGGAGAGGTCATGGAAATTAGGTATGAAATTTTCAGACTATCATCTGCTTGGATTGGTCTTTCAACAATCATGACATTGGGACACAGGAAATTCAGGCCTGCTCTGTTTCCTCTCACCAGTCCCCATACCCATGACTTCTCATGTTTGCTAAATCCTCATGGCTGCAGAATGCTCAAGGAAACCAGGGCAGTTTTTCTTGCACAGTGTCTTGGAAGAGAATTCCTAGAGACCAGGTCAGCAAGGCTGTCCTTCCTCAAAGACATGGAATATTTTACCTTCCCCTTGTAGCAAATATTGATGTCCAACCTGGGAACAGAACAGAACTAGATCAGTTATGAATCTACTACAG